TTACTAGGATAGATGATCAATTCATCTAATGTGGATCCAATTCACTTCATATGCTTGTAATGATGAAGATAGATCTCAGAAATCAATGCTTCGAGAATATTAGGATGAAGAATACTTCTTTGATTGGTGGTAACTTTGTACGATGTAATTTGAATGAATCAGAATTTGAGAATGTGGATATTAGCGGAGTCAATTTTAATGGAGCTTAGATGTTCAATTGTAAATGGAAAAACATTAAAGTCCATGAATTAAATAAGTTGGATGGTCATAGTAATTGTGTGAATTCAGCCTGTATTTCTCCTGATGGAAATACATTAGCTTCTGGTAGTGGTGATTAGTCTATCCTTCTATGGGATGTCAAAACAGAATAATAAAAAGCCAAATTAGATGGTCATAGTGATTGTATTAACTCAGTCTGTTTCTCTCCTGATGGAAATATTTTTGCTTCTAGTAGTTGGGATAACTCTATCCGTCTATGGGATGTTTAGAATGGAAACGAAATTTCATCAACTGACAAAAAATATAAAGATATTCTTGCTTATTTTAAAATACCACTTAAGCATAGCTCATTATTACCCAATGGTATTTGTTATTTATTATTATTTAAGTTGATCCAGATCATACAATACTTAGAATTTGTTAGAATCCTTTATTAGAAGCATCAGGTACACTTATCTTATAAGGAGAATTTATAAAACATTAAGGAAAAGATTTGAAACCTTTATTAAAATCAAAAGGTAGTTATATCTTGGAGAACTAATTAACAAAATAGAATAATGACCAATTCATATTATCATGATAATATAAATAATTTTAATAAATTTATTTCAGTATTCTTATGACATAAATTTAAAGTAAATATTGCTCTCTTTTTTTTTGTGTAACTTTTCATATTTTTTTTTTATAACCAAGTTTATTTTTATATTGCAAAGAATTAGTTTTAACGGTCCTCTTAATAAGAAGATATGAAACCAGTCAAATTAAAATGCAGAAAAATAAATTATTGAACTTAAAGTATTTCGTATTTTTTAAATCAGCAACCTTTATCTACAAATTTATTTTCATCTCAATGTCTTTTCCATCAACTATTAATGATACATGATATGCTGACTTTGAAAATAGTTTCAAAAAACTGTAAATAATTGTGAAAGTAAATAGGTCTGTTTTATCTAACGAAATTACCTCGTTATTTTCGAAAAATAAAAATAGTATTTATTCTGAAATTGGAAAAATTTCATGATTCATTAATCTTTATAAATTTCTGGTTTTTTATTTCTAATTTTGATTCTTTAATTAAATTATTCAGATAAAACAAAAAAATCAAAATAATATCAGAACGAATTCAAATAAAATAGAATGAAATGGTAATGGAAGAATTAATACTATCCGTTTACAAGTAAAGGTAA